GGAAGGTATTTAATCGAGCAGCCGAGACGAGAGATGCAGGAGAAGACGGAAGTTAGTGCCAGAGCGCGTAGGGATTCCGCCGTGCAGTCGGCGAAGGTTTTGTCCGTGGAGACAAAGCAGGAGAAGAGGATGATTTCCACCTGAGGGGTGGAGGCTCGAGCTACAGGCAAGAGCGTGTGTCTACCGCTATCGAGCGAGGACGCGTGGCAACAGCTGCGTGTGTGAAGCCGAGGTGTTTCCGGTGAAGAAGTTTGAAGCTTGGAGAGTGGCCGATTGAAGACGCGAGGTTTCCTGGAAGAGAAATTTCGGCGAGGTTTCCTGGAAGAGAAACTTCAGGGGCCGCGGAACAACAACAACCCTGGACTTTGAGTAAGTGATTCTCGGAAGAGTATCATCTAGACCTTTGTTCCAAGAACTTTGGACTGAATAGGTTTTTTATCTCTTTAGTCTTTAAGTGTCTTGGCTGTTCAATGCATGCGACTGCATTGTTGTGCGTATTGTTGTCTGTGTCCATTGTTTCGAGTGTGGCTGATTGTACTGTGTAGTACGTTGTTTGATTGGTGACATATTGTATGCAACTATTGTGGAGTGTGCATTCTTGTGTATTGTTTTCGATCTGCCATTGTTGAGAATATAATTTTGTTTGTTTATCAACTCTCGGCTCTGACTTGTTCTTTGGGCACAGCCGGCGTCCGCTGGCGCGCCAAAAAGGACCACTTCTAAATTGTCCACGCTTTCGTGGTGTGGTTCGGGGGGCTGATGCTTCAGCCCTTGGAATTAGCCCGGCGATCGCCCCCCTAATTAACGGGACCTGTGTGTGACAATTAATCTGGCGTCCGCGACACAGGACCTTTGGTGCAAACTGTGTCCAAAGTAGTGAGAAAGAGCCTCGAGTTGTGATAGTGCTATCGGAACGATTTTGTGTGTTGTTCAGTGTTCTCGTTAACGAGTGCAGGGGAGTGTTCCGATAGACTGATTAGGCAGATACTTTTTGCACGCGGCAAGGTTTTATTTGCGAGTTGCGAGACACCATGGATCTCGAAATGTTAGTAGCTCTTGGTAAGAAGATGGGTCTTTCTGGCACCGAACTACGGAAGTGGGTCACCCAGAAGGAAAAAGAAAAAAAAGAGAGGGCCAAAGAAGAAAAGGCAGCTGAGCTGGAAAAAGAAAGGCTGGCGGTCGAAAGAGCCAAAGCGGAAAAAGAAGCTGAGTTGGAACGCGAGAGGTTGGCAGCTGAGAGGGCCAAGGAAGAAAAAGCAGCTGAGTTGCAATCCAATGGAGAGAGAGAGGTTGGCAACTGCGAGAGAGAAGGAAGGAAAGAGAGGCAAAGGAGCAACAGCTGAAGGAAGAAAGAGAGCAACAATTGAAGTTGGAATTGGAGAGAGAAAAGTTGGCAGCTGAAGGGGCGAGAGAAGAAAGAGAGGCAAAGGAGCGACAGCTGAAAGAAGAAAGAGAGGCAAAGGAGCGACAGCTGAAAGAAAGAGAGGCAAGGGAGCGACAGCTGAAAGAAAAAAGAGAGCTGCAATTGAAGTTGGAGCTGGAGAAAGAAAGACTGGCAGCTGAGAGGGCGAAAGAAGAAAGAGAGGAAAGGGAACGGCAGCGACAGCACGAGATGGAACTCGAGCGGCTCCGTTTGCAACAGCGAAGTGAAACTCCCGTCCAAGCTAGAGTTCAAAGCAGCGAACGGGAAGATCATGGCTTCCGCTTGAACCCAAGCAAGCTGCTCGTAGCGTTTGATGAGAGGAAGGACGACCCTGACGCGTACCTTCACAGATTTGAGACGATTGCAAGGAGCCAGAATTGACCGGAACATCAATAGGCAACTGCGTTGAGTACTTGCTTTAGTGGTGAAGCGCTCAGTGTGTACGGTAGGCTGACGCCGACCGATGCAGCCAACTACGCAAAGGTGAAAGCTGCTTTGCTGAAGCGATTTAGATTTACTGTAGAAGGTTTCCGGGACAGATTTCGGACAGGAAAGCCAGCTGATGGTGAGACGGCTACGCAGTATGCCGCCCGACTTTGCCATTATTTCGACAGATGGATTGAACTTTCAGGGACAGCGCAGGAGTACGATGAACTTAGAGAGCTCCTAATTAGAGAACAATTTCTTACTAGTTGCCACCCAAGTCTGTCGCTGTACTTGAAAGAGAGGAAGGCTGAGTCACTTGAAGGAATGCTTGAATTGGCTGATCAATTCTTGGAAGCACAAGGTGGAACTAATTTGGCCAAGGTCAAAAAGGATTGTCCCGATGATTCGAAGAAATTGGCTCCCGAAGAAAAGAAGCGTGCACCAGAGAATATTCCGCGATGTTTTCTGTGCAACCGAGTGGGTCATCGCGCGAAAAACTGTCGAACGATCTTTACGATCCCTACGGTTGTAAAATGTTTTAAGTGTGGACAGACTGGGCACAAAGCAGACGCATGTCGAAACGGAGCGAGTCAAACTCACCAGGTATCCTGTGTGCAAGCGGCACCGAAATCTGATAATAATGCCGTCACAGATGGATTCGTAGAGTTGAAAAATGGGGAGAAAATTCCTATTGTGGGTGCTGTAATGTCAAAACAGCCAACCGGTGTTGCGAAAGGAATGCCAACGCTGCCTGGAAAAGTTGTGGGTAAAAAGATTACGGTGTTAAGAGACACCGGTAGCTCCACGGTTATCATGCGGAGAAATTTGGTACGGGAAAGTGAGTTGACAGGCAGAACGAAACCGGTTTGCCTAATTGACCGGACAGTTCGGATGCTTCCCGAAGCAGAGATTGAGGTGGAAACCCCGTACTTCAGCGGGAAGGTTACCGCTCTATGTATGACGACCCCCCTTTACGAACTTGTCATCGGAAACATCGACGGGACGCGAGGACCGAATGATCCGGAATGTTTGGGAGAAGACCCTAAGATAGAGCCCTCGCCAACCCAGCGACCGCGAGATACAGTGGAGCAGCATCCCGTGACGGATCTCACTAGAGCTCATGGTGAAGCCGTGGCGCAAGAGACAGCGAATGAGAAGATAATCGAGTTGAATGAGTTCACGTGCTGGGCAGCTGGACGTACGTCGGCATGACCTCAACCGACAGACAGTGTAAAGATGACGGAGTCTGCCAGCCGGGCCAAATGTCGGGACATGAACAAGCGGGTGAATAACCGGACAGGATCGGTTGAGCGTCATGACCCGCTAGCAGTGTCGGAAGAGACAACGATGGCTGAGACGCCGCCTCAGATACCGTCGTTGGAAAGGGCTCACCGAAAAAGAACTAGGAAAAACAAGAAGTCGAGCGAGTACTGCAAAAAAGGGCGCAAGCGCTGCTCGAAGTACTCAGGATAAGTGCTGAGGTCAAATTGGAATGCGTTTGTCTGTGTTGAGCCTCAATGTGTTGTGTTTGGTATCCTGTGTCACAACTGTATGTCGAGTGAATCAAAATGTTTGTTACGGTGATGTGATGAATAGTGTTGTATAATTGTTGTAAAGACAGAACTTTGTACGTTTGTATTGTTTGGAATGTGTGATGAAGCGTTGTACTCATGTACCTGCGGTTATATTTCATGTGTGTGAGATTGAATTGTAATGTCCAATCGTATTGAGTGATATATTGTGAATGTGACCTGTCATGAGCGACGGACTATGTTACAGTCTTTGAGAGTGTGGTGACTGTTCGCGCTCGTTTGTGTGGTTGTGAATATTATGAGATAATATTCTTAAAGTGGGGGCAGTGTCACAGAACGAGCGCTAAAAATGGGCGCGCCGCCAAATTCTTGCGATAACGCGCGGGAGGGACGCCGGGAGGTCAAAAGAAAAAAAAGAAAACAAACATCCAAAGCTCCCCGGGCGCGCGCTCTCCCCTCGGAAGCGTGGCTTCGCCGACGAACCTCCTCCCCCCACATGGGCGGCCGAGCAAGCCCGCGAAATTTCTAGAACGAACGAGGCATGGTCATGCCGAGTTGAGTCATCCGACGCGGAGGGCATTCGAACCGTCTCGCCCTCTCCCCAGGCTTCGCTGCGTATCGCGCCGACAAAATGACGAGAACCTTCTGAAATCTCGCGCGGAAGGTATTTAATCGAGCAGCCGAGACGAGAGATGAAGGAGAAGACGGAAGTTAGTGCCAGAGCGCATAGGGATTGCGCCGTGCTGTCGGCGAAGGTTTTGTCCGTGGAGACAAAGCAGGAGAAGAGGATGATTTCCACCTGAGGGGTGAAGGCTCGAGCTACAGGCAAGAGCGTGTGTCTACCGCTATCGAGCGAGGACGCGTGGCAACAGCTGCGTGTGTGAAGCCGACGTGTTTCCGGCGAAGAAGTTTGAAGCTTGGAGAGAGGCCAACTGAAGACGCGAGGTTTCCTGGAAGAGAAACTTCAGGGGCAGCGGAACGACAACAACGCTGGACTTTGAGTGAGTGATTCTCGAAAGAGTATCATCCAGACTTTTGTTAAAAGAACTTTGGACTGAATAGGTTTTTTATCTCTTTAGTCTTTAAGTGTCTTGGTTGTTCAATGCATGCGACTGCATTGTGGTGCGTATTGTTGTCTGTGTCCATTGTTTCGAGTGTGGCTGATTGTACTGTGTAGTACGTTGTTTGATTGGTGACATATTGTATGCAACTATTGTGGAGTGTGCATTCTTGTGTATTTTTTTCGATCTGCCATTGTTGAGAATACAATTTTGTTTGTTTATCAACTCTCGGCTCTGACTTGTTCTTTGGGCCACAGCCGGCGTCCGCTGGCGCGCCAAAAAGGACCACTTCTAAATTGTCCACGCTTTCGTGGTGCGGTTCGGGGGGCTGATACTTCGGCCCTTGGAATTAGCCCGGCGATCGCCTCCCTAATTAACGGGACCTGTGTGTGACAACGTTCGGGGCTCGCCAGGCAACAAAGGTGCTTTCCCAAAATATGGTCAGTTACACAAAAATAGGCACTTTCAAAAAAGATCACAATTGGCACTTCAAAAAATAGGCAGTTTAACAAAACATAGTGCTCCATGTTACCGGATGCCTCTATTGAGCATACTCACGCAGTCCGTTTGATTCCATTCTGGAAGCCGTGTTCACAGTGTCTCCAAAAAGGCAGTATCGTGGCATTTTCAGTCCAACAACACCCGCTGCACATGCTCCTGTAAGAATAAATAAAACATAGTGTAGGTATTTACCTCGTACCAGGTTGCGCCCTTTTAACCATGTCCATTTTACGTTACGTTGGACTCTATTAGTAAGGAACGTTCAAAGGCATCAATCTTTGGTACTCCTCCGATAAAGGAGCGAGCATTTATTAGGTATTCAATAGTAACGAAAAAAAAAGGCAGATCCCCTGTACAGCGGGAATAGATTATATGAGAAGCACGAATGAGAAAGGTTGACATGCCACTTTAAAATCAGCTTGAAGTTACGAGGTGGAGGTAAATTATGCCGTACATGGCTTCAGTGTGATAATTATCATGTTTGGATGTGTCGTTTACCTTCGTCATCTATTGACGTCACGTACGGGATACCAAAGTAAGTATTTGGGAGCTAACGAAACGACTGCGAGCCCGCTATAAGTGTGGTATCTTGTCATGATCTTACATGACACGCGTGTCAGGATTATCATGTTTGCACTAGTCATATATTTGATCATCCATTCACTACACGTAACACCAAATTCGGTACAGGCATCGTTCAGTCGAGTTTTTTAGGCTGACTGTAGCGACAGAATACATAGCCTAGTTGATAAAAAAAGAAACCTTCAGAAGGCTTCGGTGAAAATGGAACGCAACGTGAGCCCCTCGCGCCCTGCACCTGTCGGCGGATTGTGCCCGGTATACATTGGGGACGCGAGCACGCGTCTCTTTTCTGCGTGCACCTAACGGTGGATGTCGTAAACTTTAAGACGGGGCAGTCAGAGCAACGCTGCTCCCTCTAGCCAGTGGGAGGTGCTTATATATGGAGCTAGCAAAACGGCCGTGAGCGCATCATGAAGGAACCAATATACTCCGTTGTAGCGTTGACGCGCGCGCACGCTGAGCACAGAGTTAGCAAAACGCGAGCACTTTATATTCTCACGCCAAGCGCGACCAGCGTCGGTCGGCGCGGCCCGAAGGCAAGCGGCGCGAAATGCGACAAGCTGCATTTCGCGCCGATGCGTCACCCAGAGAACACTGCGTCTCCCTCTTTTCCTGATGGAAGGACGCTGGACGCGCTGAAACGCGCATGCATCAAAGCGACGCAGCGCGGCGTGCGAGTATATGGCAGGACCAGCACCTGGCGGGACAACGCCGACGTGACGTGACGAAATGAACGCCGGCGAGCACGCGCACCACGTCCTGTCGAGAAGTATTGGCGCCAAAACGGTGGCATGTAGTCACGTTCTCACATGACACGCATCTCATGATTATCATGTTTGCTCCAGCCACATACCGTCGTCAACCATAGGCGTCACGTAATACCAAATTTGGCGTATCTGAAACTAGCAAGACGGCCGCGAGCGCATGATCAGCGTGGCATGTAGTCATGTTGTTACATGACGCGAATGTCGTGATTATTATGTTTGGATGTGTTATTTACCTATGTCATTCGTTTGAGTCACGCAATACCAAATTGGTACGTGTGAACCTAGCGAAACGGAAGCGAGCACAACATGAGCGTAGCATGAGTCATATCCGCCATCGCATCATGTGCATGGCATGTAGCCAATTTGTTACATGACACGCATCTCAGGTTTATCATGTTCGCACCAGTCTCATACCATCGTCATTCAATCATGTCCCATAATACCAAATTCAGCATAAGTGAAGATACCAAAATGGCCGCCATCGCATCATGAGCATGGCATGTAGTCATGTTGTTACATGACACGCATCTCATGACTATCATGTTTACACCAGTTACAAACCTTCGTCATCCTTTCACGTACCGTAACACCAAATGTGGTATATGTGACGCTAGCGAAACGGCCACGAGTGCATCATGAGCGTGGCATGTAGTCATGTTGTTACATGACACGCATTTCATGATTTCCATGGTAGGGTCTGTCGTTTGTGTTCGCCATGCAATCATGTCATGCTATACCAGTTTTGCAACACGTCATGTGAACGAAACGTCCCCACATCCCCACGTCATATGCCCACGTCATATCCCCACGTCATATGCGAGTCACGAGCATGCGCAGTGGGTATGTGCACAACGCTGACGCACGAAGCCTGACATCATGTAACTAACTAATGCTCTGAATTTAAAGAAAGGTAATTGATTGGTATTTAACGTCCCAAAACCACCATATGAACATGAGAGACGCCATAGTGATGGGTGCCGGAAATTTCGACCACCTGGGGCTCTTTATTTAAAAAAAAAACGCAGAGCAAGTGTGTTTTTCAAGGGGCCCCTCAAACGGTGCCATAACATATTCCAGTGAGGAGCTCGAAGTTGTGAGTTTGAAGAGCATCATTCCATCAGAACTTAAGGGGCGAAGCTCCTCTTAGTCTAACCTTGTCCTGCGTGTAGCGTAACCGGCAGTATCGGACAGACAGACAGACAGACAGACAGACAGACAGACAGACAGACAGACAGACAGACAGACAGACAGACAGACAGACAGACAGATGGGCGGACGGAGGGAGGGAGGAAAGGACAGTCGGGCGCTTCGCCTCACTCATCATCATTCACTCCATGAATATGCTGTGATCTTTTTGGATCGGTTCAGTGCGAACTGAGAAAAAAAAAAAAAGGCAGATCCCAAGTACAGTGGGAATCGATGATATGCGAAGCACGCGTGAGAAAGGTTGATATGTCACTTTAATATCAGCACAACAATATGAGGTGAAGGTAAATGATGCCGTACATGACTTTCTTGTCATGATTACCATGTTTGGATGTGTCGTTTACCTTCGTCATCCATTCGCGTCACGCGATACCAAATTTAGTATGTGTGGAGCTAGCGAAACAGCCGCGAGCACGCTATGAGTGTGGTATATTGTCGTGTTATTACATTACACGCGTGTCAGGATTATCATGCTTGCACCAGTCATATTTCGTCATTCATTGACGTCACGTAATACCAAATTTGGTATATGTGGAGGAGCCGTATTGTGGCAGGAGCCGGGCTGACCAGCCTCTGCCACAATACGCGGCCCCCGTCCTTCTACGACGAATTGTTTACGGGACCCCGAGTAGTTAAAGGTTTAGGACTCCCTGAAAAGCTCTTTTTTGCCCCACACCGAACCGCCAGTGCCAGGAGGGGCCGTCTGATCGGGAGGAATGCGCTAGTGAACGGAAACATACACAGACCACTGACATCAGAAAGGTGAAGGGGAGAGGGGGAGAGAGATGAGGGGGGAAGTGGAAGGAAAAGTGGAAGAGGGGCACCCGAGGGGCGTCCACCGTATATTATTTTTCTCTTTTTTCTTTTTTTTCTTTCCTTTTTTTCCCTCTTTCCTTGCCCTCTGATTTGAGATTGTATAAAGCTGAGCACCGACAAACTGTATCTTTATTCCTGATGAAGGTCAGACTCTAGGCCGAAACGTCGAAATAAACCACGTTGTGACCGCTCACGGAGGATCTACTAGACTATATATATATATATATATATATATATATATATATATATATATATATATATATATATATATATATATATATATATATATATATATATATATATATATATATATATATATATATATCATCAGCCTGACTACGTCCACTGCAGGACAAAGGCCTCTCCCATGTTCCGCCAGTTAACCCGGTCCTGTGCTTGCTGCTGCCAATTTATACCCGTTATACCCGCAAACTTCTTAATCTCATCTGCCCACCTCACCTTCTGTCTCCCCCTAACCCGCTTCCCTTCTCTGGGAATCCAGTTAGTTACCCTTAATGACCAGCGGTTATCCTGTCTACGCGCTACATGCCCGGCCCATGTCCATTTTTTCTTCTTTATTTCAACTATGATATCCTTAACCCCCGTTTGTCCCCTAATCCACTCTGCTGTCTTCTTGTCTCTTAAGGTTACACCTACCATTTTTCTTTCCGTTGCTCGCTGCGTCGTCCTCAATTTAAGTTGAACCCTCTTTGTAAGTCTCCAGGTTTCTGCTCCGTAGCTAAGTACCGGCAAGATACAGCTGCTATATACCTTCCTCTTGAGGGATAGTGGTAATCTACCTGTCATAATTTGAGAGTGCTTGCCGATTGTGCTCCACCCCATTCCTATTCTTCTAGTAACTTCAATCTCGTGGTTAGGCTCAGCGGTTATTACTTGCCCTAAGTAGACATAGTTTTTTACAACTTCAAGTGCACTATTACCTATCTCGAAGCGCTGCTCCTTTCCGAGGTTGTTGTACATTACTTTCGTTTTCTGCAGATTAATTTTAAGACCTACCTTTCTGCTCTCCTTGTCTAACTCCGTAATCAGGAGTTGCAATTCGTCCCCTGAGTTACTCAGCAATGCAATGTCATCGGCGAAGCGCAGGTTACTAAGGTATTTTCCATTAACTCTTATGCCTAACTGTTCCCATTCTAGGCTTCTGAAAACCTCCTATAAGCACGCGGTAAATAGCATTGGGGAGATTGTGTCCCCCTGCCTTACACCCTTCTTGATTGGTATTCTGTTGCTTTCTTTATGAAGCACTATGGTAGCAGTTGATCCCCTGTAAATTTCTTCCAGAATGTTTATATATACTTCATCTACACTCTGATTCCGCAGTGTCTGCATGACGGCTGGTATTTCTACTGAATCAAACGCCTTCTCGTAATCTATGATGGCTATGTATAGTGGTTGGTTATACTCTGAGCATTTCTCTATTACCTGATTGATAGTATGAATGTGGTCAATTGTTGAGTAGCCTGTTCGAAATCCTGCTTGTTCCTTTGGTTGATTGAATTCTAATGTTTTCTTGACTCTGTTAGCAATTACCTTTGTAAATAGCTTGTATACTACAGAGAGCAAGCTGATCGGCCTGTAATTCTTCAAGTCCTTGGCATCTCCTTTCTTATGTATTAAGATGATGTTAGCGTTCTTCCAAGACTCTGGTACCCTTCCCGTCAGGAGACACCTCGTAAACAGGGTGGCTAGTTTTTCTAACACAATCTGTCCTCCATCTTTCAGCAGATCTGATGTTACGTGATCCTCACCAGCAGCTTTATATAT